CTAGCATCTCATGATGCTGTTTCCTGGAGAAAGACCATTGATAGTGAGATGGACTCAATTATTGCCGAAAATTTATGGAAGTTAGTAGACTTGTTGCCGATTCTAACCTGTTGAATATAAATAGATTTTTATAAAGAAAAGGAATGTCGATAGGTTCATTAACAAGTATAAGTCCGGTTTAGTTGCCAAGGGTTTCAAGCAAGAAGAAGGAGTAGATTGTTTTGATAATTATGCTCCAGTAGTAAGGATATCTACATTACACATGTTACTTTCACTTACCTCGATTAACCGTCTGATTATTCAACAAATAGATATAAAAATCACATTTCTAAATGGCGAGTTGGACAAAAATATTTATATGGAACAACAGGAAGTGTTTGTTATGTCAGGCCATGAGCTTTAGTCAAATCATTGTATGCATTAAAATTGGCTCCAAAGCAACCATACAAGAAATTCGATAATGTAGTCTTGTCAAATGGATTTAAAAGAAGCAGAGCAGGCAAGTGAATTTATTGGTAAAGAAATTAATTCGATGTGTGACTCATAGTATGTCTTTATGTGGATGATATGTTAATATTTGGTACTAACTTAGAAGTTATTGAGGAAATCAAAAGATTCCTCATATCTAACTTTGATAAGAAGGATCTAGGAGTGGTTAATGTGATACTTGGTATCAAGATAGTGAGAATGGACGAGACTTGGTGTTAACCCAAGCTCACTACATTGAAAAGATGCCCAGAAAATATAAGCATAATGATTCTAAGTCAGCACTCACACTAATGGATCCTCATATAAAGTTAAAGAAAAATGAAAGGAGATGTATTTCTCAAATTGAGTATGCAAGAATAATTGGTAGTTTGATACATGCACAAGACCAGATATTGTGTATGCAGTGGATAAACTCAGTAGATATACTTGTCGCTCAAGTAGAGAGCATTGGAATGAAGTCTCTGAAGTTTTGAGATATCTTAAAGGAACTATCAATTATGACATATGTTATACTACTTATCTAGTGGTGTTGGAAGGATATAGTGATCTGAGTTGGAGCACAAACTCAAAAAATCTTTATTCATATCTGAATGAATATTCACTTTAGGTGGTGGAGCGGTATCATGGGGCTCTAAGAAACAAACATGCATATCTCGATGCAATATGGAGTCGGAGTTCATTGCACTAAATCTTCTTTGGAAGAATCGAATGGTTAAGGAATTTACGTTGTGGAATTCCATGTGAGCCTGACCTGATACCGACAATTACAATTAATTGTGATAGTTATGCAACAGTTGCTCTAGCGAAGATGTATATAATGCCAAATCTAGACATATTGCGCAGACATAACTCCATCTAAATGCTAATTAAAGATTGAGTGCTTAGTCTAGAATTTGGAAGGTCAAAAGATAATTTGACCGATCTCTTAACAAAAGGACTTGCAAGGGAAAACATTAGTCGAATGTTGAATAGAATGGGACGATAGTCCACATAAGTAACCATCAAATGTTGGGAACCCAAATCTTGGCCTTTTGTTACCTCCAGAGGTCGAGATTCAATATGGTAAAAACAAGTTATTCACATGGTTAGTCAAATTACTATGCACATTCAATTTCATTATAAGTGTTCATTCTTAAAAGATCCATACGGTGAATAAGTCTAGTCATAACCTACATACTCAGGAAGGTTGAGCTATGCTCTTAATGAGATTTATATTACTAATATCAATTGGGGTGTCTTATATGCATGGGCACTCTTGATAGACTCACATATATGAGTGTCGAAGTGAGGCCGCTTCCTATGGAATTAGACTTGTACCTAGAGTACTCATGAAATCGGGATATAAGCTCAATACATATAACAAGCTGGCAGTATATAGAGTCATTGGAGAGTGCATGACATTTATGTATGGTGATATCGGTATGTCAAATAAGATCCTTAGTTCAAAACTATATGCTACCATGAAGTTCAATGTACTTTGTAGTGCTTATACTAAGTGGAAGTTCAAATCGAAAAGATACACCTTCATAGTATGTAAATGATATATGTTGCCTAATGTTTTCATATTATTTTGAAATAAGAGGAGAAAATTTTTGAATTTTTGCTTTTGGAAAAACCCTTAAATGTTATTTCAAAATACTAACCTTTTTATTCTTTAGTATTTTGGAAAGCGATAAGTCGTGCCTAGGATCAGAGAGATTGACACATCCGTTGTTTTCTACCTCTGTATCTTGCCTCATTTCACCCTTCTATTTCCAGTAGAAGCCAATGACAGTACACTACCCAAGACAAGACCGAATGAAGTGCTAAAGATTAAGGTTACTACACTCTTAGGTGGGAATAGATGCTACATCATATTTGTTGTAAATGAATATCTAATTTTTAACCTGCCTCATTATAGTTTTAGAAAAGGGCACTGATCGGTGGTTTTAGCCCTAGGAAAGGAGATTTTTGCCCTCACTCTGTACAATGCAAAGACTTATTAGAATGGAAGCATGATCCTAAACCCACCTAGAGGAGCTTTAGAATTGAAAGATGACAAGGTTGAAGTCTTCTACATTGATTATAGGAATCAAGGAATGGTACCTTTTATCCGATTATGACCTCTTGATACCTATGATAAGCCTTGTCCAAATATGCATCCTTGCTTATATCAAGGTGCCGGGCTTAAATGAGAATTTTGGTTAAGAAATGAGTACATGAGGGAATGCATAGCAAATATCTCAATAGGGTTTGCTGCCATAGTTGAGGGGAGAGACACATTAGGAGGAAAAGCCAAATACCAAGGCACTGAGATTATGCTCCAAATGAACATGCTAGTAGATATATGTGTTAGATGAAACTGATAAGGAATTATATATTTTGTGCTATTTGTTTAAGGAAAATTGTTTCCGACTATATATGCGGTCCAAGAAGTATAAAGCATCCATTTTAAAGATAGATGCAAGTAGGTATTCTATCTAAAAACAATAGAAACTAACGGATTAAATATTTTCTTACTATAATTATTATTTCTAGTTTTTAAAATTTGTTTATTTTTTCATGATCTCCATGTTAGAGATTACATGTCCTTAAAAATTAAGTCCAAAAATCCATCTAAAAAATAATTTATTAATAGGACCGCATTTCTACATATGGTGACTTGGCCCGCATAGAAACCCGCGGATCCTTTGTTTAATGATGAGTCACACCCCTTCCTATGCATAAAGTTGTATGTACATCTTCCATGTGCCCCTTCTCTCCTAAATAGAAGGGAACTTGTTTACCCTACATCGTGCCCTAGATTCCTCCTTAAAGGTCACTCATCCTACATCTTCTCGGGGGGATAGGATCCATGTTTATTCTTGCGACAGGTATCTTCATAGCTTAATAATAATAATAACAATAATATGGATATGTTACAATTGTCAGTATATATAGACTAGTAAGTTTTCAATACTACACAAATCAAATCAAATATTTTGTGAATAAATTTTTCTGTAACTTTTTTTTTTTAGTAGTACCAATTGAACTTCAGATGTAGTGTTGCTTGATGTCAATTACTAACCAATCAGGCCCGCACCTGAATTAAAGAAAGTCTTTGAGTAACTATTTATAGTAAATTTAGTTGATTCAAAAAATAATATGATGTCATACAAATATTACATTGTTTGTCTAAAAAAAATGTTCAACTGTACACATACACACGCAGATAGATAGATAGAGATTTTAATAGGTAAGAGATGTGCTTTTTGTTTTTTTGTTTTTGCTATAATAATATTTCACAAGCACTGATATTTTGGTCAATAATATTATTCATTGATATTTTGGTCTAACCATAACTGAAAACGCCATGTGGGAGTTTATGAGAAGAGAGTAAACAAGTTGGAATCTTTCTATTTGTGAATAAAATGTTGGGGTTTTCTAGAGATGGGCTATGGGTTGGGGCTTTGGATGTGACATTCCCTTCTTTCTTAACAACCATCTAAGTTAGACATATATGAATAGTTGAGCACACGTGCTTTCTGCATGTATTACATGTTTACTAGCAAATCCAACCCCATTTGCACATGTTTAAATATTGTTTGTAAGCTAATCCTGTCCCACTGAGGTAATTTCATCCAAGATCTTCCCCGACTTGGTTATAAATAAATAAGATGCCTAACTTAGGATATTGAGAATATGAAGCAATGGTTTTACTTTAAAAAAATTTGATAGACTTAGTATTTTCAATATCCAAAATCATAAACGTACATTGTACCTTCAGATTTTGAAAATTTGTAGTGGCTGTAAATGGAAAATTCACTAAAGCTTAGAAAAATGGGTATATAGTTAATTATTAAAAGGATGGATCTTTTAATAATAGAAAAAGAATAATGATCCTATGAGACCTTTTTATACTCATGTGGGTAAAATCTCAAAGAATTATCATTAAATTTAGTACAGATCTTTAGAAAAGTTATCCCATAAATGTATGACTTGATTTTTTTAGATATCTGTGTCAGATTTAATGGTGATTTTTTAAAGTCATATATATATATATATATATGGGTGTAAAAAGGTCTCATAGGATCATTACTCATAGAAAAATAGGGGGATATTTCTATAAATTTCTTATAAGAAAGAAAAAAACTATTGTAATTTGAACCATAAAAAGAAATTTGCAAGGGGGGTTAAATGCATTGTTCTTTTAGTACGGCCGGCAACAAGCCGTCTTGGCCTAGCCCTAATCCCTAGAACAATGAGCCGGGCCAAACGCAAATTTCGAAAAAAAAAAAAAAAAATGATTTCATGCGGGCTAGATTGTTTTTCTACAATATACCGACCCAAGGTATAAAGCATCCATCAAAACGGATGCAAATCGGTGGGCCATCTAAAACCAATTAAATCTAACTATCCAAATATTTTCTTCACCAAATCATTCTTTTTATTTTAAAAAATATATTTATTTTTTTATATTTATTATTTCCAAAAATCCATCTCAAATATTAATGTTTAAGAGTCGACTCATTTTTTCATGGGACTCACAAAAACCGAGAGATTGGACACGGCTGATCTTGACCAACCCTATCGTGGCCATTGCCCAACCCGAGCGGAGCCCGTCCTGGTTCGGCCCCATGCCACATCCGGTATGCGTCTTTAGTGGTGAGAGCAACCAGAGCGAAGGTCGGTGGTGGTGGTGGGCAGCCCAGGAGCAAGCGTATTGGGCTTTGACACTCTAATTGTAATAAGGGAAACTCCCTCTTCCCCTCTTTCCTCCGAAATATTTTAGTGAGAGAAAGTAGCATGCTGAAATTTTGGTGGCTTTTGATTCTGTAATTACTCTGAGAGCAACAACCCTCTCTCTCTCGGAAAAAGAAATAAATGTAGTGAGATAAAAGTAGAGCAAACGTTATGGTGGCGGAAACCGAAGATTATTCAGCCGCGGCCACTGTAGTGGGTTTTGATCCTCCTATTTCCTTGTTGAGGGGTCCTGTACCAGCAAGCTCCATTGACGACCCATCGAAGGGTGATTTCGTTCTCGCTTTCAAAGATGAGCGGAGTTGGAGACGAGCATTTCAAGCGTCTGAGGCCAAATTAAGAGAACAGTGCGAGGTAACCCCATAGAGAGAATATATTTACTAGGGGATAGAGCTTTAGTTGTTTTTTACCAGTGATTAATAGCATAATTGATTAGTCGTTGCACACGAAAATCTGGTTTTTGGTTTTACTTTTTGGAATTTTTAATGTTTAGAAATACTTGTTACTGCAGAAGACGGTTCGCATAATTAATTGTTTGTAGTGTGCCTATGAAGCTGAATTTTCTTGCTTTGTTATATCGGTTTGCACTGTTTAGAAATAGTGGTCATTTTAAGTGATGGTTAACTGTATTAATTGATCATGGTATTTATTTTAAGCTGAAGTTTGAAAAGCTTTTGGTTATTATAGTTGAGGTGAGAATTTGAACTATCACTGTTGCTTTTATCGTTTCTTTTTCCAATCCTGAAAGGATAAGATTTTTAAGGGATTTTGTGATTTTTTAATTGGTTTTTTTCCATAATCAAATGAAATACTATTTATTTTTCATGCAGGGTTAGTGAAACTCAATAAATCATAGAAAATTTAACTAGAACTGTCGTCCTTATAAAATTTGTAAAGTAACTCTCTTATAAAAGAAAGCAGGGGATTGTGGAAGTAATCTGGTTAGAATGAATTTTGGTTTTCTTTTTTTTTTTTCCGGCAAAGGTTAACTTTATATTAATATAGTATAAATGTACAAAAAGCTCTATTGTTATAGTAAAGGCAGCCCACAAGCAGGTTCTCATAGTACAAAAGAGGTAGGAAAAAGAAAAACGATGAATTTTGGGTATTATTTATTATTAACAAACATGTTATGTTCTTAAACTATGGAAAGAGATGGTTTTTTGGTTTACTAAAATTAGAAGTTCATGTCATGTTATGATATATGACCTCTCTAATTTATAGAGAAAGATGTGCACACGCATCCCTTATGCTAGGATTAATTTTCTTGTAAGATATGGCTGTGATTATTTGCATTACATAAGAAATTATTTTATTTGTATCGAATTTGAATTTTGAAACCTAAGGGAAACTCACTAACTTTTTATTTAGAATCGATGCAGTGTTAGAATTCGTGGGAGCATACATGCATAAACATTGAATAGAGAATGGAGAGAGAAGAAGAGAGAACATAACATTTACGTGGTTCAAGCCGAAGCCTTACGTCCACGGATCCAAAGTCCAACGGACTACATCTTCACTATTTTTGGATGGATGTTTACATCAATAAGTATCTCTATATATGTTTACATCAATAAGTACCTCTATATATAGAGGACAATCACACAATTACAGGAGATAAATATAGTATGATTCTTGGAGATAGAGGTAAATAGTAGGAAGCCTTATCACCAAACTAACTTGATGACCAAGTAATTTGACTTGATTTCTTTATCTTCTAGATACCTAATCTTATCAAGAGATATATACCCATACATCCATAATGATGTATATCAATATGCACATGAGATATCCATATCCTAACAGTCCCCCTCAAACTCAAGATGCTTTGACACAAAACAGCTGGAGTTTGAACAATACCAAGTTGCCAAAAACGAGTAGTGATCTTCACATTGCTCAGATTGCTTGAACAACAAGCACAGATTAGATTGCAGCAAGCCTTAAGAACAGCAGACAAACAGGCATTCGGAACATCCGAGATCGAGTAGCAAAAAACTCGATCAATAGACAGGATCGAATAACGGAAAGAAATTTGATCATCTCACAAGATAGAACAACGGAAAACTCCATCTAACAGGATTGAGTAACAGAAAACTCAATCATTAAACATAAACATCTGAAGCAGGCATCTGAAGTAGACAGGAAGGATCGAGTAAACTTGATCACCATACAGGATGGAGTAACGGAAAACTCCATCATCAAACAGGATCAAGTAACTGCAAACTTGATCATCATCCAGGATCGAAAAATTCGATCGTCACACAGGATGGAGTAACGGAAAACTCCATCATCAAACAAGATCAAGTAACGGAAACTTGATCATCAACTAGGATCGAGAAATTCGATCATCAAACAGGAGGCACTTGGAAGAGCCAACATAAATTAGCGGCGGATCAACAAGAACAGTCAAAACACGATTCGATAGGGAGAAGAATCGAAACACGACTCAGACTAGTAAATTTTTTTTTTTTTTTTAGAATCAATCAGAACAAATCGAAGATGGTGGAAGAAGGATCTGTTGAGGAGCAGCCTCAGAGGAAGGAGCTGCTCAAGAGTAGGTTGCCCTTTCTTGGTAATTTTGATTGCCTCATTGCTGGACCGATCATAGTCATCAAAGATATATGCAACTGGCTTTCTATCAAGAAGAGATCGTCCTGAGGTAAGCCCATCAGCACTTATAAAGCTATCTAAGAGGACAGCTTGCCTATGTTGTCTCTTCAGCTGTCTTTCTTTTCTCTTATAAATTTTCTCATTCTTTGGAAGAATGTCAATCTTCAACCTCTTTCCAAGGGCAGCTTCCGTCCTAATTTCTTTTTTACTCATGGCAAGCTTTTCGGAAACTTCCTGAAATTCATCAAAATTAGCTGCTACTGTCTCCCACTGGCAAGTAAGAATGGGCTGCGATGGAATACCCTTGGACTTCAACTTTTTGTATTCAATTTTTCTCACTTCACGATATAAGCAATGGCCATAATTGGGTCGCCTTCATACCAGTATGAAGTTCCATGTGAATCACCCCCAATTCGTTCACTGCAGAATGCTGATGGATGAATTCCATGCTTTATGGAGTCATCAATATAATTCCTGATATCTTCTTGCTCTACACGAATATCACATAATGCTTTCAAGATCAACACACGCGTCCTGGGCTCGAGTGCCTGATATGCCTCAACTTCCTCCCCATGTGAGGCCATAATCGGAACTTCTCCATCAGCAACCCAATGCCACCAGTCCTTTAACTTTCGGCATGAAACTGTAATCCAGGTACTCTGCCCCAGAGCAATTCTTGTTATAGGAGGAATAGCCTTCAATAGACGACTGCTGCTGCTCGATTGCAGGAGCGAGGGGAAAGAGGTGTGCATCGGTGCGAGCGGTGCAGGCCCCGGCGAGCCGCAATCAGATTGAGGGCTTCACTGATCAAGAAAACTGGAAACACAAGCTCGGGACGAAATACCAAATCGTGAACTTGTTCTGATACCATGTTAATTTTGATATCATAAAGGTCTGGAGAAAGAAAGCCTCAATGAGGTTTAGTCATTTAGTAAACTTCAAAAACATTCAGGTAACTTGGTAACCCTAATTCTTCATTAGCATTTTATTGTAGCTGTTCAATAAGAACAAGATATCTGTCAAAAAAGGGTCAATCAATGAGAATGGCCATCAATGACCTTGCCACACCAACATCCAATTATCCCTCCAGGAAATTTATTTTTCGCTTCATAATTTGGAAAGAAGGTATTGCAAAAGTAGTTAGATAACTTATCAGGTTGGTAGGTAAATAGGCTCAATGATGAACATAAAAACACATTCATACTTATATGCACACCCATATAGATAGAGAGAGAGAATGTGTGTGTCTGTGTGTTCTGGTTTCTTAAATAGTTCTCTCTAAGGAGCCTCCAAAGTCCAAAGTAGGGGTAATGACTGTAGATCTGCCTAAGAAATTGGTTGTATTGGGAGAGGGGACTCAAATTGTTCACCTTTGTTGGTGTGGGGCACGGTCAATTCACAGGAGGATCGCCCTCCCAATTCGAGTTTAATTCCTAAAAGTTGAAAGCCTTTATGACTATGACAACAGTCACAACTATAAGCACACCCATGACTATGGCAGGGTGAGTTGCTCTGCTCTCTCGCAATCCCTATTCTAATATTAAAGGCCCCTACTAAAGATTCAAAATTCGAGCACTGAAATGAGAAAGGCAGCCAAAGTGTCCATACTAGTAAGGTCATAGCAGATTGGCCTTTTTACCAAACCAATGGGCATGTTTGTACTAGATGCCAATACTTGTAGAATTGAACCCTCGAACATCTTGGGGCTCACCGACTACAACATGGTCAGTGTATGTGCGGCAGGTTGAGGAAGGCATAGCTGACTCCTTCGTCCTAATTGACAGGCCGGTCCTACTAGAATTAGCCAGATTCCTCACACTCACCCTTTGACATCTGACCTTTTGCTGGTATTGAGATGTAAGACTTATCAACTATGCAGATGAACTTTGAAATGAAGTTTCTTTTTTTGAGATAAAATTGAGTTTTTGTATCCATAATAGCAAAAGATTTACGTCTTACATTTATTTCTAGCTTTTCAAAACAGGAAGGACTAGATCACCAGAGGAAAGCAAACAGTACAAACATATACGTGCACTACTGAGTACCCAAAGAAATCAATAAACAAGACACCGCATTTACACGAAAGGAATCAAGAACCACAAAATTGCCTAACATCCTTGTAGGATTGGATTCTATGGACAACCAGCATATTGCCAGCTACCCTTTCTTTTGCAAGGACATCGGCAAGAGTGCTTCATATGTAACTTGTAATTTGCTGGATATTGGGAATATTTGGTTGAACAACCGCTCCAATTACCATAGACAAGGTTGAAGCCTGCCTGATTTCATTCATTGAGTCCTCTTCCACCTAGAGGAAGGGGCGCCAACTTCTTTTGAATAGTTTTAGGGCCTGGAACAAAGCCATTGCCTTGGCCTTTGTAGAAGTGCAATCCTCCTCGGAACATCAATAGGGAGTCAGCCGAATGTTTTCTTACAATACCGCCAACACCCAAGGGTTCTGGATTGCATAAGAGCAACAATCAAGGTTCATTTTGGTGACCCTTAAGCGGTGGAGGCTTCCATCGGTTGCATCTGGTTACAACCAACAACCTAGCCCTAGATTGGCCCAATTATGTAAGAAGTGTGTGGACCATCCAATGTATTATCTTCTCTGCTTGGCCCAAAAATTTATCGTAGCCTTGTTTTTCTCCGATAAAACTTCTAATTGACACTCCTTGCTTTCAGAAATCAGAGAGTTACGATCCAGCCATAGCCACCAAATGGAGGCCATGATCGTGGCACGACATTGAATAATTCCAGCCAGCAGAAAGGTAGACTGGTGGAGAGAAATATGCATCTCATAGGTGGTGGACACTCTCGTGTCACAACCACACCCCTTAAAACATGCCCAGGCAGGAGACCCAAACTTGAACAGCCACCAGCAATGAGTGATCCATAGCGTCCTCTGCTGCCTTGTACTTGACACAATGATTAAGGAGTAGGATGCCGCTCCTTTGTATTTGGTCAATCTTTCTTTGAAATAACCAAGTAGTTGAAAATCTGGATCTTAGGGGGAACATGGGAATTCAGGCTTTGCTTGCAATGACTGGCTTGATGGCCGTGGAGGTGAAAACGTTGCTCGTGGAAGCCACCGGGAAGATGCCCAAGGACACAGACATCCAAATCATCTTGTCACAAGCTGCTTTTGGTGTAAACTGGGTGTTGAGCTGGTCTGTCTCAAGAATTCAGGATCTCAGCATTCCAAACACTCCTGCATAACCTAAAAGCCCACAGCAAAGTAACCCAGCACCTCATAAGACTGGTCCATAGGTACATTCTGGTGATTGGCAATGGAAACAGGGTTGGGAACCAACTTGCTAAACTCTATCCCCCACCCATATATCAGACCACGGTCTTTCTTCAGTTGCCTACTTTTGGCAAAATTACCACAGACCAAGGGCATGCCGCTCAAGCATATGAAGCATGAGCATCTGTGCCCCTTTGGTAGCCTGCCTGAGTCCTTAGACCTATACTTATGTTGAATCATCTGCTGCCATAGATCATCCTGATTGGTGAAGCACCACCACCATTAGGACTTATATAGGATAAGATTCTTGTAAATAAATGAGTTTTGCTATCAAATTTTATTTGAGTTTTTTTTTATAACTATAAGAATTATATATCTATTTTGCATATAAGTATTCTTCAAAAAATGTGATTAATCTTGCATTTTGTAAAGGTTCTTCACTTTTTATATATTTATTTTACAGGCATTCCCATGGAATTTCAAACTAGGGAACTCCCAGCAAGCAACGATCCCCCACTCTTGCTCCAACTTCTCTCCCACACCTGCTCACGCCTCCAGCAACTATGCCTCAGAGAGACACAGAGGGTGCTAGAGGCTCCAAATCCCACCTGTTGTGCCCTCTGCCAGTAAGGCTTTGCACTGGCAGGACCTTCTACCCCAAATTTGACGGATCAGGGCCAGATCAAGGGGACCAAGCTTTGTTTCTGAAACAGCCAGGATCTCCGAGGAGTGCTTACCTAGCACTCATAAATGACCTATTCAACATTAGGTGGCCAAGAACCTGAATATTTCAAACCGGTATTCTCATTTCAGGGCTGGTGGGGCTTGGAGTCTCCTCCAGGAGCATCTGGCAGACTGCTCTTCCAAGGAGGAAGAGGCAAGGGTAGGGGGGTATAGTGGATGAAACCCCACACAGTTCTTAGTTAATAGTACAAGAACCCTTTGAGCTCTCTTGTACCTCTAACCCTTAGCATTGTTCACTCTATGCCTTTTGTCAGTGTTCAAAAACTCAAACTCAATGACCAACTCTGTCATTGAGTCAACTCACCAACTCAAAATAGTTGACTAAGAAAACATGGTGAGTTTTTTATTTTTTTTATGTCGAAAACTTGAAAGTAAAAGACAATGCGTGTGACAGGAATCAAACCTACCTTGTGACCTGTCATGGCACAATTCTATTATTTCTACCATATTGCAAGACACAATACATCTCTGTCAATGTAACATATATAAATATATGGAACAGGGACACATTTGGAGTTTTTCATAATAGAGCTTGGCCATGTAATAAATTGAGTTTTCATGGATGAGTTTTTTAGTTTTGAAATGTTTGATATCACTGATGCCTGTTGAAGATTGTGAACATATCATCTTCTCTATTGGTTCCTGGGAAGTCCTTTATGTACTCCGTTTTATTTTTAATTCCTCTTTGATGGATTGGTCCATGGATTGTTTTTTTGGTGAGTCAGTGGGGAGAGGGCCCCTACCCTTGGTAGAAATTGAGCCTAGGATGTAGTGTTGCAAATCGGTGGGGATTTGGGCCCTACCCTTTGGTGAGAATGGAGTCAGAGACCTCACCATGGGGCTCTGCAATACTATCGCCATGGCCCCAGGCCATTCTCAAAAAAGTGGTAAGTCAGTGGGGATTTGAGCCCCTACCCTTTGGTGATAATGGAGTCAAGACATCACCATGGGGCTTGGCAATACTACCACCAAGGCCCCAGGCCTTTCTTTAAAGTGCTAAAGTCAGTGGGGATTTGGGCGCCTACCCTTTGATGAGAATGGAGTCAAAGACCTCATCATGGGGTTTGGCAATACTACCTTCAAGGCCCCAGGACAAGTGCCCAAGTGCTAAGGTCTCTTAGGGCTAGAGAATAAAATATTTATCGATGGCGAAAAACTATCGCAAGGGGGTTGCAAATTACAAATATGTGATTGCCATTTGAGTTGTTAACTGAAGGCTGAGTTTGCATTTTTTGGTTCAGTATGGTTGGCTATGTTGCTGCTTCACTTGATTCTATAATAATTCTTGGGAACTTCTCAGTTAATGTGATGAAGGTTCGCCCATATGGTTCAAGAATGAATTTTGACTCTCTGATTTGATCAATATTGTGACAGGTGGACAGCAGCAAGAGTTATAGACATGACAGTCTTGATGTAAAAGAGTAGATTGAATTTAGGCTTACATTTATCATAAACATTATTGTAAGAGGTAGTGGAAGAATCATAACACTGGGATAGCGTTGAAATGTAAGAGATTGTGGTATTGTAACCTGGCCACTTCCTGGAACTCGATTGGATGGTTCTTTTGTCTGAACATGGGCAAAACGCATCGAAAAAATGATTACTTTTTGTGAAGATATTTAAGGCGCTCTAGATCTATCGCAATAGCCACAAGAAATAAAAGCATCCTTCATGACATTAGTCTTTGTTTTTAATTAGTAGTTACACTGCAAGTTTCTTAATCCCACTATGAGCAATTCTTAAACTTCACAGATTCACAATGCCCAACCCCTGAGCCTTGTTGTATGATCGATGATTTTGAAACTTAGCAGTAAACTAGAGCCTTACTTTCACAAGAACTTGGAGCCTTGCTTTCTTATCTTGTTTATGGTTAGGCAAAAGCATGTATCCAGGCCCTAATCACTACACCAGCATAACAAAACTTTATGTGGCCAACTAGTTGTGAAGTGAAGGTGGAAACATGGACTTGGAAAAAACTTTGAGAAGATGACAACTGGGTGAAGAATGGAATGATGAAGCAAGCCTCACTCTACATGTGAGATAAGAACAGGAAGCAGCCACGGCGACACCTTTACAACTCATTCAACCTTATAGACTTTGATATTGATACATACCTTCACTTGACATGCCAGATAAATCTAACCTGGTTACACGTGTTTGGGATGATAACCAACGTTACTTTTGTAATATTTAAGGATAACTATATCCTAGTAACTGTAACTTAATAGACATTATAAAACTGACTTAATAACCAGCACTAGATTTGTAAATTTTCATTCAAAAGAAATGGATAAAACGTTAAACAGGTTATCTCTGAGGTGCATTTTAATGAATTTCCCTTTTCTTGGGAATTTCTTTTGTAGCTAATATGAAATACATTCTGTTTTTGTAGTTTTCTTTTCTTTTGTGCATTTTAATGAATTTCCCTTTTCTTGGGAATTTCTTTTGTAGTTAATCTGAAATATGTTCTGTTTTTGTAATTTTCTTTTGATAAACTGAAAACTCTCTCTCTCTCTCTCTCTCTCTCTCTCTCTCTCTCTCTTCTCCCTCTCACATTACTGATTTGATCATTAATTTGGTGAAGTTATTTTTCACTTTCGGGATATGAAGGCAGGGGCACGAGTTGGTTGTTCTATCGGCGCATCCACCAAATGCCGGCCTTCATGGTGGCAAAGCCTATTCAGGTCCAATGCTGTTGATTTCTCGGAGAGAGAGAGATGTGAAGAGAGAGAAATGGCTGCTTGTCTTGATGCTTCCAAAGAAGCTTGCATCCAGTTTGCCAAGGATAAATGTCTGCCAGTCTTTCGAGATGCACGCATTGCCTCCAAGAATCATAAACATGGTTTGGAATCCATGTTATTGGGCTCCGAAATAGAATCAGCAACTAACTACCGAGGCAGCGTTCTTTTGGGTTGTGAAGTTGAAAGAAGTTGCAAAGAGAGGCAGGATTTGGCAAAGTAGATGGGGAGCTACTGTTGATCTTATTTATGAACGCAAAACATGTGAAGCACAAGCTGAGAAAGGATTTCCTTGCAACAAGTTAGATAACACCTTTGTTTGGTGTAATTTCTTTTCTTAATAAATTCTGTTTGGTGTAATTTTACATAATTTCTTGCCTTTTGTTATTTGAAAGTAGCTTTTTATATGATCTTCTCTGCTGAGGTTTGTCTGTTTATTTTCTGGTGCGAATTTGCACTCGTTCTTGTGTTTTCTAGTATGAGACTAGCTTCTTAATTAGATTAGGTACCCATCTTTCCAACTGATTTTCTCCAAAGAGGCTTGTGTGATTTTATTCTTTTTGGTGTAATTTTACATTGTCTTATGGATTCTAATGTGGTGATATCGCTCAGTAGGGTAGATGTCTGTGAATAAACGATTTATGATGTACAAAAACATGAAAGCGAAGTAGCAGGTTTCTATCCAATGTTACTGGTAAGTTACAAGGATTTGTCACCCAAGCCATTGGTTTTTATTTTACTTATTAAAATTCCAATATTACAGGTAAGATACAGGAATTTGTCATCCAAGCCATTGGTTTTTATTTTACTCTTTAAAATTTCCATTTCTTTGGCCATCACGTGTAACATCGGGCATAGTGAGCACTCGCGAAATTGCCTTGAGTTTTGGGTTCATATCGTGAAGTCTTGGATGATTAAGAAGTGATGTCCATGGTTTACTTGGAAGTTTAATATCATGACATGAGTTTGTTATTGCTTCTATCATGAAACAAGAAAGAAATGCTCCTTTACTTCAAAAATAAAGAAGTACTCTTTGCAATGTGTGCATACATTACTAAGTAAAGAGATTGTATATTAGGAGATCATTTACTATTATTACATAGAGGTCATAATCTCTCCTAGCCCATAGATGTCAAATTACATGGAGGTCACAATCGTTTCTAACCTATAGATGTCAAATTGGATGGCTTGGGGTGTGTTATGGAGTTCAAGGAAAATTTTTTTTGGTTAAATTGAGTAACGAATGCACTTACAAGTTACAACCGCTCGGTTTAAAATCTAACAAGTGATTGTGATCTCCTTGAACTGAAAGTAAATAGATTCTTTATATACTTTTCCTTGAGTAACTTTTGAAAAGGATGCAATGTTAGTATTTTTGTTTTAAAAAGACTAGACGTTATTTGAAATAATATCTTAGTATTCTAAAGTACATCATTGTAGAGAGGGGCTTTTTAGTCTTATATTGAAGAATACATAAGAGAAAGTCATGCTTAAATATTGAAACTGTCGGCTTTTTAGTCTTATACTGAAGAATATAGAAGAGAAAGGCATGCTTAAATATTGAAACACTCTTCGATTGTGCTCTTAGAACAAAAAAGAAATTTGGCTCATCTTGCGGAGCACATGAAGCATGTGGCACTTGCACTCATGTGTGGGGGGTGCAATGGTGTTTGAATTACATTTTATACTTCGTACACTTACAAAAGCACCAGGGGCTGTCACCCAAGGGCAGTAAAGGCTCAAGTAGCCAGCGTAAGAGCACAGGTTCGAGTTCTGAGAGCAGCCACTTTGTGTATAAAAAACCAAAGGCTAAGATCGTTTACGTCTCACCCCTTCAGAGACCTTGTGTAGGGGGGACCAGAATTGGGTTATAGCCCTTACACTTACAAAGGCACCCTAGGAGAGGTGATTTCGAACCATTGTGACTATTGCATAGCTAGTTACATCGACATTGACATTTGTAACCGATGATAAGTTATAGTCAAGTAGCGAGTTAATAATTATCTAAAATGGATAGTCATCACAAGTTATGACTTGAAAAATAAATGGGACTTGATTTCACTCTCAGCATATAATTTTTTACACGTTGCATCTTCCTGTCTAATTTGCTCCCTCTGTAAAATAAAAATAAAAATAAGGGCAAATCTGGTGCTCTAAGATTTTGGTATTCTTGTCCATTAAACAAGCAAAATAAGTATTTGATTATTATGTTTTCAAGTATCATCATCATATCTTTTTCTTAACTATTTGGGGAAGGCTATACATATTCAAATATCCCAAGTACAAATTTGCCATGTAAATGTCATGCACACAAATTGCCATCAAACAGAAAAGCACTCTAGACAATAATTTAAGGGGAAACTATAGAGACTTACTAGTCCCATCAAAGTCATGAATCAAGATTTTGCAAAACTAGTTCGAATTGATGGAACCAATTTCAAAAAATGGCAATAAAAATTGATGTTTCTATTTACTACGATCAAGGTTAACCTTGGACATATAGAAACATAAATCAGAAAAGAGCCCATGTATAATTTTGGCCAGGATTTTTTATATTCATCCAATAGAAGCAAACCAAAAGAAGTGGCTCCTTTATGGACAAGTTGGGCTCGCAGCTTGTTATCTTTTACATGTTGCATTGGGTGTGCATAACATCGATGCGATATAGTTATTTTGAATTGAATGGCAAGATACATTGACTATTGTAATTGATGAACACTTTATGAATTTTAAATAGTTAGTTAAGAACTACCTAGAATGAACAGTCACAAAGCATTCAAAGAGCACAAACTATAACTTGAAAGACTCTTTATCTATAAATAGGACTTATTTTGTCTCCCAAAATATAGTTTTTTGCACTTTGTCTCTTCTTTTCCTTTCTTCATTTCTCTTTCTAGCTTTCTCTTTCCAAAAGAAATGCAATTCAGGTGTTATAAGATCGTTTTTCCCGCATATTGAGCAGGCAAGATAAGCATTCGATCTTCTATTTTCGGGTATCCCAAGGACAAATTTCTCAATAAACCTTATGCACATTTAATCTTATCAATAGGGGCAAATATTTTTTTGAGATGGCTCATTGACTTGTTGGAAAATAAGAAGTTCTCTTTTCATTTTGTATTCAATTATGTTCATCAAAAAAAAAAGAAAAAATACATCTCCATTTGACCCCACACCTATCATTTCAAGCGTGCAATGTGTACGTATATGAGTATATTTGTGTGCATCTTTGACGTCATCAAACCTTCAGCCATGTTTCACAGTGGTTTAGATTTGAATGGCATCCGACCTCTGCATAATAATGTGATATTGACAGGGGGATGAACACGTAATTACATGATACATGCATTCACAGTCTCAAGGATTGTAGACAAAGAGACCATTTATCTTTGGACACGGGTTCTGTAATGCGACGGGTTCACATGTAAAATTGTTGGCCCCTTAATAATTTATTTTTTAAGTAGAATCTGATCCTAATGTTTAGGAAACACATAATCTTAACATGGAGATTATTAATATGTAAAAATAAACAAATTTTAAAAACTGCAAATGATATTTTTTTGAGAAAATATTTGAACCGTTGATTTTACTTTTTCTTTGGAAGACTATTATTAATGAGATCCGGTTTTGGTGGACGGTGTAGCTCTTCAAGCTGCATTGGGCTTAGTCGCACCAAACAATTTTCGTGTACCTTTTATACATAGAGGTCATAATTATTTCTATTCATTAGATGTCAAATTAGATGGCTTGGGGTGAATCATAAAATTCGATGTGTTTTTTTTGGACTTTGTGTTATATTCTTACAACCATCTATTTTGAAATTTAAAAAACAATAATAATTGTGGCTAAAAAATCCACTATCATATTTACCATGAGATGCATTGAACCTCTTCACTTTCCTACACAGAGGCACCAGTCAGAAATCATCAAGAATCCCCTCAACAAGTTTTCATACTGAACTACAAATAAGTGGAATGAGTATTACAATGCTGAGGAATGGTAATGTGACAGTGGCAGACAACCTCTTTGATGCTTCCTTTTCAAAGCTTTTTTTTATGATGTTTTCTGGTTTTAGGGTTTTAGTTAGGGTTAGGTCCTGACGTGACAAACATAACGTTCGGTCAAACCAGGTGGTCCTTTGCCCAACAGGTCTAGAACAAAAGCATTGCGCCACCTTTATTTCCTTTACGAAATGTATGTGTATGCTGGGTCTATGTTTGTGAAAGAACTTAAATATTTTTTGTACTGCCAAAAGCTAGATACTTGCTCCATGATTAATCCCTTTCCTCTAAGCCAATGTTTACAAAAATGGATATGTGACTTGGATTGCCGATCTGGAAAACAGGCCCGGAGTGGCAGATCAACTGTTTGGATCGGTGAATCGGTCAGATTGTTCGGATCTAGCCTTAGAAATATTTCAAAATAATCTTTAAAATTTCTTTAAAATCTTATTTTTTATGTTTCTAATAAAATAGTCGTATTATTGTGTGGTTTTTTATTCTTTTACTAAAACCATGTAAATATTGAGAACTTGTATCATGTCAGAATGTATGTTTGTTGTCCATCACATTTATTTTACAATCAAAATAAAGTTTAACATGTAACTCATTATAACTCAATTTTTATTTTTTTTAATAATCTCCAACGTCACTTGCGCCAATAAGGATAGGGGTATTTCCAACTCATTTTTTCTTTTTTTCTTTTTTTCTGAAAAATTATTGAATTAATTATTATTATTATTATTAATATTTTATCTCTCTAGGGGTTTCGTATTTAATTTTCTCTAAAGTTGGGGCACAATCACATACCTAATTAAGAGAGAGATAGAGATAGAGAGAAAAAAAAATCCAATGTAATATTCAAGAAAGAGAGATGAAGAGAAGAACGCGTAAAAAAAAAAAACCGAATGTAGTAGAGAGAGAAAAAGAGGGAGAATATGAAGTAGGAGTGCAAAATTTTCAAGTACGTTTGAGAAATGATTATTAGGTTCTCATATAGTGAAACAAATTTGCAATATTTGGTGGTATACTTCATTATTTGGGTAGTCAATTTGTTAGTATGTTTGTCATGAGCATGTATGCTGTGCTCCTTTGGGAGCATAGTTTATTTCTACCTCCTCCGCAAGATGACCTAGTTGGGAGAGTTTTTTCAATATGAAATTTTGGTAACCACTTTAGAATTATTAGATAGTTGTTCTATTAAAAAAAAATTAAAATTTGAGTGTTCTAATAACTTAGATCTCACCTTCTAAAAATTGAGCGGTTTCTATTCAATCTTGAGGCGTTTTTTTTTGAGGTGCTTATCCCCAAAATTTGGGGTCCTAAAATAATAGTAGGTGGGGTTTTACTTGAGGGAGTACCAGGACAAAATATTGCATAAGAGGTAGAATATCTTTTGGCTTTTGTCATAGACCCTTTTTTTTCGTTTATGTTTTTTTTCATTTGAATTTTTCTTTATTATGAAAGTGATCTAGCATTTAGCTGAAGCCAGTTGCACTTGAATTTTTTATATTTTACTTAATTATCAAAAAAAAAAAAAAATACAACAACCCCATGTACCTGTGGAGTTGGATGTAACGAGGAGCT